CGCGCCGGTCGGTCCCCGCCGGGGAAGTGCGGCGCCCGCGCTGGGCGGGACACGCTCCGCCCGCTCCCTGCCCTCACCCCGAGGGGCCCCGCCCGCCCGCACCCCTCGGCCCTGCCCACTGGAGGCGTCAGGAGCGGGCGCCAAAGCCGGGGGGAGATGAAGCGTCCGGGACCTGCCCAGTCTCTGCCCCCTCCGAGACTCCTGAAACACGAGCGGCTCAGGCCACCGCGGTTCGCGCCTGCTTGCGGGGCCCCGACCCCGGGGCATCAGACTGGGGCAGGGGGCAAAGGCGCGACCCTGGTTGGCAGGCGGGCCGACTCGATCACCTCCTGAGGTCCCTTCCGACCCTGGCGTCTATGAAATCAGCAAGTCATCCAAGAACATATGAACGGCCATTTATTGGGTCAAGCTGCAGGTTCATCTTGTCCACGGGCCTCCCGAGCGGGGGTGGGGGGGAGCACCAGATCACCCACGGGACGTGTGGGGGGTCCACCAGCAGCCCATCGCCGCCAGGGAGGGCCCCCCAGTGACTGATTGCACTTCCAGTTTCGTGGCTGGCGCTTCCAGGGGGTGCGCAGCCGATTTCAGGGGGTGCGCATGCACCCAGCTGCATCCCCTATGTGTCGCCAGTGATCTTATCCAGTCTCGTGTCACCCCTGAGTGCAGCCCCACCAAGTCTGGGGACCTCCTGGTCACTCCTCCTGGCCCAGCGGGCCGTGTATCTGTCCAGGAAGGAGGCTCTGGCTGGGAGGGTCCCCAAGCACTGTGGGGCCGCTTTCCTTGCACTAGTCCGTTCCTGTCTCTGAGCACAGTATCGCTGGGCAGAGTCTGCTGGCTCCCTGCACTCGTTCAGGGGCCCGTGGGCGCTGTCTGCTCGGGGTCCCCTCCTTGGCACTTCTGTTATAAACCTTTGACCTTCACTCCCATCCCTGCTTATTTTATTATTTGTCCCCAGTAATCAGTTGCCAACCTTTTCTGTAGCTTCCTCATCTGAGGATGACAAATAGGCTTGTGTTGCTCCCCATGTGCAGCCCCACCAAATCCCAGGACCTCCTGGTCAACCTCCTTCTAGTGCTGACCAAGCCTGCCATGTATCTGACCAGGAAAGAGGCTGTGGTCCGGAGGGTCTTTGGTGACTGCAGGGCCACTTTCTTTGCTCTGCTTTGTTCCCACTCTGAGCCGAGTATCACTGGGCAGTGGCTGCTGGGTCCTTGGACTTGTTCAAGGTCCATTGGGCACTGGCTGGTGTGCTCTGCTCTGTGTCCGCCTTGGTGCACTCAATTTTAACCTATGACCTTCACTCCCGTCCCCACTTTGTTCTTTTGTTGTCCCAAGTAATCAGTTGACACATATCCAATAACCTCCTCTATTAAGGGGGGGGGGCTAGGGAGGGGAGGCTAATTGTTGCTCTGTGGGCTTAATAGGCCCATGTTCCCAATATAGGAGTGTGTCATACAGCCCCTGCCCCCCCAAAAATGGGGAGCTAACCATTGCACCATGGTGGGCATCAAACCCATATTAACACTGAGTCAAATAGGTCTGTGTCAGGCAATCCACTGACTCCTTGGACGAGGGCTAGCAAGCACTAGCCAGTGTACTCTGTTCAGTGTCTTGTTGGATCAGTTGTTAGTAACCTTTGATCCTCACTCCCATCCCTGTTATCATTTTTAGTTGTCTCCCATAATCATTTGATATGCACATAGTGGGGCCACAGATTAAGGGGGGCTTTTAGCTTTACGTGGTGGGCAATGGCCCATGCTCCCAGTGAACATCAAATCAGCCAGGGTCACAGAGAGGCAGAGAGTGGAAGCTGAAAGGGAGAGTAAGCCTGGTATGACAAAGGTTTTTTTCCACTGTTCTTCTCTCACTTGCAGCCTCCACCATTTAAGATCCAGGAAGTTCTGATTTAGAGGCTGTTTCTCTAACTCCTGTGTCCAATAGCTACAGATTCACCTTTCCTCCAAGAATTTATCCAATCCCTTTTTGAATCTAGATAAACTGTAAGCTTCCACAACATCTGGTGGTAATGAGTTCCACACTTTAATGACACATTGGGCACATCTACATGTGCAATTAGTGCAAACAAATAAACTCTGAAGCAGTTTGCACCATAGATGTTTGCTCCCGAGCAGACCATTTGCACATGTGCCCAGGACTGCAACATGTTGAGCTGGGGCAGTGCAACCCCAGCTGACAGAGG